TCTCTCTCTCTCTCTCTCTCTCTCTCTCTCTCTCTCTCTCTCTCTCTGCCAGCTCCACTCCCTCAGAGCCCCCAGGTTACCCTGATGCTGACCTGACTCCCACGCCGCCTCCTCCTCTGATTCACTGGAGGGGCCAGCAGCCGACAGGCCACAACAGTTACTGTCTGGTAAGACAGGCGGCCAATAATTTTTTATAAACAAACAAATAAATAAAACCTTTTAACGGTAAGGATTGTCTGCTGTCAGCTTGAAGGGTATTCAGCTCCAAACAGTCCTCAACTTAACAAGCACAATTGGGACTGGAACTTCCAACGAGGCAGTCGTTAAGTGGACTGCGCCCAATTTTATAAACGTGTTCGCCATAGCCGTTAAGTGGATCATCCTGGTTGTTAAATAACTCCCATGGTTGTTCAGTGAATCCGCCTTCCACCATTGACTTCGCTTGTGGGAAGGTCAGAAACTGCAATCACGTGTCTCCGTACTCCCACCCCCGGGATGCTGCAACTCTTAATAAATACATGCTGGTTGCCAAGCAACCCAAATTTTGATCACATGACCCTGGGGATGCTGCGACAGTTGTAAAAACAAGGACCGGTCCTAAATCATTATTTTTGCAGCACCGTCGTAACTTCGAACAGCTGTTAAACAAATGGTTAGAAATCAAGGACTACCTTATGTAATAGTGGAATGGGTGGTTGTTGTTTTTTAACCTGCAAAGTTGCAGCCTGCTCTGCCATGTGTGGCTCTCGTTGAAACACACAACAACTTGTACAGTTTCCAGGTGGGATTAGGGGAGAAGTGATGCGTAAATACCTATTTCGTTCTCTGCTTCTCGCAACTCACAAAACGACTGGTCACAAAGCCAGACCTTCTACTTCATTTTCTTGACTGGAGGGGCTTCTATTTTCTTTTGATTCAAGGGCAAGACCTCGACTTACGACCTTGGGTTGAAGTTACAATGGACCCCCCAAAATGGGACTTGCGACCTGAAATGCGAAGTTATGATATCTGTCCTGCCGCCACCCCTAGTCACATGATCGCATTTTGGTTGCTTGGCAACCAGTCTGCATTTATGGCCGTTTTCAGCACCTTGCTACAGTCAGGTGACCACGATTTTCGAGTTTTATGATGGAAATTGGCATGGATTTCCGCTTCCCATCTCACGGTTGAACAATGGGTTTGCTTAAACACTATCGCAAAAGAAAAAGCATGTAAAATCAGGTGTGGTCCCATTATGTAAGTTATGACCATCATAACTTACAACCGAATGTAGGAGTTCAATTACAGTCATAAAATAAGGATTACCTGTAGTTAAAACAGACTTTCTACACCTGCTTTTTTCTTTCTTTTTTTCTTTTGAAGAATTGTAAAATAGCCTCTTTTGAGCGTGCTTATAGGAGGGACAGGATTGATGCCTGGAAAGACCTGGCATTATTTTTGGCTTCTAACGTTTCACAGGTGTTTCTCTCCCTTTTATTATCCAATAGGAAATCCTAGCTTGCTGGCCGGGGAATTCTGGGAATTGAAGTCTGTGCACCTTAAAGGTGGCAGAGGTTG